TAGGGTTTGAAGTGTTGTCACTTCTTTGCCTGATCACTATGTGAGAAAGACATGTGGGGAAAATACAGAGCTAATTAGTCTACTCCTATTGCTCGGTTCTTTCTGCGTATTTTGAAACAGGGAAAAACAGCAGCTGTGAAACGTGGTCCCTTGCGAGAGAGGGCAGCTGCCCTCGGCTTCGCTGACGCTCGCGGGCAGCGCGGCCCCTTGGCGGGGTTCAGAGTCCCGCTCCGTTCCCATCCAAACTGTTTGCGCGGTGGCTGCTCGCTGAAGAACTGTCTTCTCGGTAATAAGTGTGCTGTTCTGGCTTTGGACTTGTCCAAAAGTCAATTCCCAGGATATTCTCGATATCCATATTGTTGTTATGGTTTTAAATTTTGACACTAACAAATGAAGAAGATACCTGGTTTTGGGAACTCTTTTATTATTAGGATATGAGAAGTCTTCTGGTTTGTTTGCAAGAGAGCACAAGTGTAGCAATTTCTTGTTGATACTGAAACGGCAATTGTCTTGCAAAAATCGATTGCAGAATTTGTGCCTGAATGCAAGTGTGTGATGAAGTTTCTGAGAACTTGTAATATTTATTTTTTTTCTTTTTTTTAGTTAGGCCCTTATGCTAAGGGGCTTGCCTGCTCAGTGCTCAGAGTTTGTGTACGTACCTCCTAGGGCAGAGACTTGTTTGTCTGCATGGGCAAAGTGTTTAAATTTGTTACTAGTTTGATTAGGACTGCGTTAGGTAAGTGCTTAAAAGCCCATGGTCAACCATGTCTTTAATAAGAAAGAAAATAAATAAATACATCTTCACTGCCTGAAAGTGCAGGTGAAGCTTAGAGCCCACCGCTGCGGACACGTTGGAGGAGCCGGCTCTGGCCTGGTTCCCTGCGGGCGCCTCTCGCCTTCCCGCATTCAGCAGTGTGTGTCGGTGCTTCCTTTGTTTATTAGGCAAATAAACCGGCTTAATTTCAGCAAGTTCACTAGAATTTCTTCACTGGTCCATGAGTCTCGGGCTCAGGTTGCAGAAGAGCCAGCAGCCCCACGGACAGAGGTGCAGTGGCCAAGGGCTGGCGAGGGGCTTCCTCCTGCAAGCTGCAGTTTGGCAGAAAATTTACACTAGCTACTGCATTTTGCTGATTTCATTTAAAGTTGCTGCTTGGTAAATGATTTCTTTTTATTTTTTTTAAGCTTTGTCAGTTTAATGCTTTGCAATATGCTGCAAAGTGCTGCCAATCTACAGTATTATCTGTGTCAACTGGTGCCTGGTGAATTTCTTTAAATCCCAGCTTTCATCTGAGAAAGAAATCATATTGGTATGAGGAAGACTTGTTGCTATTGTTGCAGTGAATTAAGCTAAAATAAATCAAATACATGATATTCTAAGGGTTCTGTGGGATTATGGAGACAGATATATGAATATTTTTGATTTTTGGGGGGATTTTTTTTTGCTCTTGTTATGTGTTTAAATAATAATGCTGTTCCAATTGTCTTCTTATGTAAATATTCCCTTCTATTCTTTTGCATATTACATACTCCTTCTCAGCTTTTCAAAATAACTAGTCAACCCAACAATTAGATTGTTTGAAAAAATTAATTCATCACCCTATCCTTTCTAACGCAATGTAGAATTGTTTTCTCGTTCTCTAAGAAAAGATGATATCTTGTTCTATGGACAAAAAAAAAGCCCAAATAATGCAAAAATTGTGATAATGATAGTGAACATAAGTGTGTTCCTCTGTTTTCTTTGGCATATTGGAAATATAGTACACGTCTAAGGAGAGAATTCTTTTCAGCAACATAGCAAAATATTCAGATCTGGTACAAATATTCAGATGTTGACTGGGGATACAGGAGAGAAGAAAGGCCTGTTCAGTACCAGTGATACAAGGATAATATATTTTGTGATTGTGTTAGTCTGTATTGGAAGAGACATGGGCACTAAGGAGAGGCTCAAGGAGATTTTAGTGACTTTAAAAGTGTCTTGAAAGGAACTTTATATTGCTACTGCAGGCAAAGCTTTCAGCGTGATTTCAGAAGCATGTTTAGTAGATAATTTTAATAGTTTAATTGATAGAAGAATGTGAAATTATACAGTTACAGAGTGTGTGGCTGATCTTCATCAAAACCCAGAACTAACTGAACTGATACAGTCTTATGATGAAAGTAAATAAATCTCTGTTTATTTGCTGCAGAGCAAGGCTGCACAAACAGGAAGCAAGACTGCTCCTGTTCTTCAACAGGAATGCAAAAAGAATGTAAAAACAAAGTAAAACTCACAGAGGGAAAAGCTCTTTTTAATTTTAAAATAATTTCATTGAATACTTGCCCTACATTCAAGAGATGAAACGAGAAGTAAAAGCAAGGTTATGCAACTAAAACTTAAGTAGCAATTTTTCATTTAAAAATGAATACAGTGATATGTATATGTCTATCAAGTGTTAAGTTAGAGAGAAAGTAGCAGGAATAATGACATTATCCTAAAATAAAGAATAATTTGAAGGTGATATATTCCAAACTGCTTTTGTTGGATTATAGATACCATTTATCAGTAATGCAAAGACTTTTTTAAAGCAATTTTGTGAGTGTTACTTTTAATGGTTTTGACACTCCTTCCCTGATTCTGTTTTGGATGTATGATGTAGGAGACTTCTTAGAAGGCTCTGCATCCTTATATCGGTTAAGTGAAAACATTTAGGGAAGGAAACAGGACTCTGTAGGGGTGTGCAAGGTCTCTGTTACGGGCTCTGGGGGCTCTCTCAGTAAGATGGTATCTGTCCAGTACATATGTAAGAGCAGGACTCGAGCAGATCTGAATGAGGATGAGGAAGAGGCATTTATTTCTGAAGGATAAATTAAATTGATCATAACAGCATCAGTGATTTGTGCTAGAACAGGAAAATTCCCGTCGGTCCTTCAAGCAGTAACACAAATGAGACTGGACTGCTGAGCAATGTCCTTCTAAGCAACTGCCTATCTAAAGTCAGTGGGATGTGCTCCAACGCATGTCTTGCCCACTGTGCTCGGGGTGGGGAGGTAAAGCAACCAGGCTCCCCTGCTGCAGGATGCAGCTGGAGCTGCACCAAGGTGCTTGTGCAGGTCACCCCCCGACAGATTTATTTTCTTAGTACATTTCTGTTCTCCTGAGAACCACTGTAGTGTGTAACAACCCACCGCGCTTCTTTGCATCTTTCTGATTTTTTTTCTAAACTGAAACCATTACTTTTGTTGGAATGAGAGGGGGGAAAAAAACGCCAGTTAGTATTTCAGAGCTTTTATGGGTTTCATGTTGTGGCAGTTACGTATTTTATTCATTTGTTGTTTTTTTCCCCCCCCAGTAAATTGATAATCGACTTGTCCACTCTGCCCTTTTTTGTGTAAAATGTGAGAGCAGGTGAAATCCTGTGATTCTCAAAATCTTTTTTTCATGTTGACAGGATCTAGTTAGCATTCTGAAAAAAAAATCAGCATAGTAACTTCTGAATTTGATAATATGTCTCAGATATATGGTTCAATACATCTTTTATGTAATTTTCTCACAGTCAACATTTACATGTTGAATTCAACATTCAACATGGCTTAATCTTTCATGAGTAAATCATACTGATGAAAATCTGACAGTACTTCTGGCTCACTCACAGATTTAAAAGATTAATTCTTCTGTATTTTTTGCTGTAAAGTGGAACTGGAACTGCTTTGTTTCTGTCATTGTTTATAATGAGTTAATTTTTGTGTATTTATCATAATAAATCATTCAGATAAATGATTTATCATAATAAATCATTCAGAGCATTTAGAAGTAGTCTGATTATTCCTTATGTGGATTTATTTTTTTTTTTAAAAAAGCACCCTGAATAATGGCCGTGAGAAAAAGAAAGCATTCAGAGCTTCAGATAGATAGTGATTTGAGAAATTACAGGGAGTCCACTGCTGCCTCCCTTGGAATGAATCAGGACAGCCCTAGGCTATTGTATCTTGTCAGTAGCTAACTATCAACTAGTTATTCTTGTGCTTGGAGGTAGCCAAGTGCACAAAAACTTCATTTTCTGCGGAAGTCTTTCTCGCAGACAGTGCTCCCACGGGAGATCCCAAGCTGTCTGGTGCACTAAATTCATGTAACGTGCAACCCCTGGATCCAAAGAAGCTATCAAACTTTGTTATTTTGCTCCACTCTTTCATAAAAAATCATTAAAACCTTCTGTACACTGCTGCTTTGTGGTTGAAAACACCATTAAGCAATCGCAGAAGAATCGTGTGTCCTAGCCATGAAGTCCTCACTAGCAATTTTATTGCAGTTTCAGATTATCTGCAAACCGTCTGGGGTGTATGTCATGTGCTACCGGCATATTAACCTGTCTCAGTCCAGGTTCAGGAATTTCAGGTGCCAGATATCCGAACAGACCATCATAATCCTGATTCTGATAATGAGATCTAGAGAGTTATTTTATTCTTCGGTGAGAGAGAAGAGGGTTATACATGTTTTTTGTTTTTTTTTCTTTTAATCTCCGAAGAAGGCTGTTTTTCCTTTCCTCATTTCATAACTAATAATGATTTCTGCTAATTTCTAAAACCAGACTAATTTATTTCAGTTGGGAGATTCTTGTTTATCTATCAGTGCAGATGCTGCAGAGTGAATATCAAGAAATACATAGTTTCAGATAAAACGTGACATTTTGTTTCTTACATTTTTTGCTCATTTGTCTTTAAATAGTCCAGAACAGAGTTGAAAAACCTGAATCTTTGTGAAAGCCGAGTGAGCTTAAATGGGAAACAAAGTAATCGTGCTACCCCTCGTAACATTTGTTTCAAGCTAGGAAAAAATACAGGAAGGAAGAAAGAGCACACCTTTCTACTTCCTCCCTTCCTTTATGCCAATAGTGCTTTTTTTTCTCTGCTGCCCCTCTTCCTATCCCACACCCCATTTCCTTTCCTGGCTCCTCCCTGCTCTTTTCCTCAGTGGGATTATGTTGTCACTGTTTTGCATTCCTGTTGTTTTTCCATGTCTACAGCTATCTTAACGACTTGGACCGCATCGCAGATCCGGCCTACCTGCCAACTCAGCAGGACGTGCTCAGAGTTCGAGTCCCAACAACAGGGATCATTGAGTATCCGTTTGACTTACAAAGCGTCATTTTCAGGTAGAAAACATTTATGAAGCACATTTACTTTGTTTCTTTTTTACATTATTAATACCACATGTACAATAATGGTTAAAATTCTGTATAGAAATATTACATATTTTTAAATTTAAGCTTGGGCATACCATTTTTGTGGTCCTGTCCATGTATGATTAGCAATTGATTTTAAAAACGTCAGGAGGATAACAAATAAACTTGACTTTTTCTGAGTATATTCTATGGATGGGAAAACTGTAATATATTTTTTCCATAAACTGAAATTATATGAAATTTTCATTACAACTAGTAATCCAATAATACAATCGTATGTCTTCCTAATTCATGTAAATTACAAAGTACAAAGGTACAACTAATGTACCTGTCTAAATGATATTTAGACAGAAATGGTATTTTGCTGGCTTAATATGACTCCTATAAATACTTTTCCCCACAGCTCGTTGTGAGTGCAGATACAGTTGCTTAAAAAATAACTACGCAATTAGAACTGCAATTTAGACACTTGAGTGTCCAGTTACACAGAGATGCATAATGAATTAGGAGTGCATGCTGCCAGCAAATACTGATTTTTTGTTTTGGCTATTACTGACTTTAATAAATGCATTTTGGAGTCTAAGTATACTCTAAAAACTGGAAAGCCTTGACATGTGGACAACTGTGGTGATTTCCTGGGAGAAGGGGAGGCCACCAACTTGATTCTGTGCACACATCTTTGTGCTGACTCTACAAGGCAGAACTTTGCAACGTTCCTAAGTCGTGCTTAAAAATTGTTGATGGCTTTGAAATCTGTAATAATTTAAATTCAGAGAGTACATACTAAAAAAAGCACAGACTAAGAAGCAAATATGGTGATTTTTCTACCTGCAACACGTTCCATTGGTCTTAAATGCAAAAAATATTAAAGAAAACTAGCAATTTGTTTTCAACTAAATTCCTGAATTTGGTGTTCGATATGTGGATGTTTATCTTTTAAGCTGTTCACAGAGCTGATGCAGATTTTGTCAATCTTGCAGAATGGTTGATGTAGGAGGCCAACGATCAGAAAGAAGAAAATGGATACATTGCTTTGAAAATGTCACGTCTATCATGTTCCTAGTAGCCCTTAGCGAGTATGACCAAGTGCTTGTGGAGTCAGACAATGAGGTAAGCAAGCATCAGTCTAAAACACATTTGAAGAACAAAAAAAATTCTCTAAAATTGATTTTAAATTTAAAATATTATAAAGAATTGATTAAAACATACAGGCTTTTAGAGAATTTCATTAGCAGTTTGAATGTTTTTGCATAACTATTTGGTGATTCAAATTGGTAGACCAGTAATGTGTATTGATTGAATGAATCATACGCCATGCTGAATAGCTAAGCTTGAAGTTCCTGGTTCTCTTGAGACATTTTCAAAGCCAACTGGATTGTTCAGTCCTGGGTATTTTCCAGATGCGCCTACCACCATTATACACAACTATGCGTAGCAGAGCATGAAGTACTACAGGAATCAAGACGTTAATACTCAAAAAATATGGTCAAATTGATATTCTCCATGGAGTGTTAGTCAAACCAATCTATTTCGTGTTAAAGTGGAATACAGTTGACTATACAGAAGTGTTCTTATTGTAGTTTTTTGCACAGGTAGTGTTGTGCAGCCAAGTCGTAAAAGTAGGGTTGCGTGTTTTGAGTGGTTGCAAGGTTCTTACTGTTCATAGCAGGCAGTGGGAATGAAAACAAGTTGTAGGCTGTTTGCAGAGAACAGAACAGACATTCAAGTAATAAGCCTTATTCCATCAACTTAAGGGATAGGGTTTATACTGGTGTATACATTCTGCTTCTGTTGTTATTTCAAAGAATAATGTAAGTAAGAAAGTGATAGATGGTATGCGCAACCTAAGCAGCCAGAGCACACTAGTACCCAGTGTTTAATATGCCATATACAGAGCAAGGAGATATAATTTTTATTATTATTTATTTTATTATCATTTATTATTATTATTAGATAATCTAATTTTTAGATTCCTTTGCTTTCTTGTAGACTTTTCCAATTGCTCGTTAATCTCACATGAGTTACTCAGCAGTAGTATTTTAAATTGGTCTTTTTAGCCTCGTTTACAAAAATCAGTCAGAAAAAATAGGTATTTTAATGTTCTTCACAACTGTATGCATGTTTATTTCGCTCTTGAAAGGGAATGATAACGGGCTAAAACACATGTCCCTGGACACTCAGGATTGTACATTCAGTGTTGTTCAGCATTAATTTTCTTATTGAAGTCTGGGTGGTCTGAGATCCTTTAGATTTAGGCGCTTTCCATAAAGGAAAGCAATCTCATTACATTATTTGAATGCTGTCCATCTCCTTAAAAAACATGGCTGCTACAGAGGAGATCTTTTTTTCAATTTTTTATACAATAAATACATCTTGTCATTCTGTTTATATTTGGATTCTTAACTCAGCAAGTACTAGAATGTTTTTATTCTGTTTTTTAAGATATCTTTGATGTAATATTAATATTTGATGTAATATTTTTTTTTCTCAGTGTAATGATCTGACAGAACCACCCCATCAGTCTTGTGTTTTTAGCTAGAGCTCAGGTATAGAGAAGAGAGAAGAGCATGAATGAACACTTAAAAGGGGAGAGGAAAGAGAGAGTTGTGCAAAAAGCTGATGGCACAACATACATCCCACTTTAGGGGGCTGAGAGAACAATTGTACTTTTATGAAGGTGAATAACAGACTGAAATACGTGGTATAATGAGACTTTTTGTCTTTGTGAGCATTTTTTGTGCTGTGGTACACATGAACAAAAATATATTGAATTTGTCTTTTTATCTTTATGAAGATTAAGCAAAGCCTCAGTTCCTTAATCTTCTGTCTATGTTAGTGCATTAAATTATTTATAATTTTACTGTAGTAGTAAGTCTTATGGGGAACATTAGTTTACTTCACATCCTTTGCAGGGGAAGTTGATTCATAATCCATCCCAACCTCTGTTTTAGGAGAAAAAAAGCTGACTGAATTGAATAGGTTAGTGGTAGGAGGCTGAATGAAAAATTTATTCCATGGATTTTCACTGCTGACAAACACAGCATGTGTGGGGATGTAAATTTATTGCAATTTTTATATATGCCAATATAAAGTACAATAATCTTACATATTATTTTATAATATGTGATATTGAACTCAAAGCTGAATTTACAGAGAGGGATGATCTTAAAATGAGTGGTTTATGTTTTGTCTTAGTGATCTAATTGACCCCAGTGTGATCTCTTGTAAATTTGGAGACTAGACATGTGTAGATTAAAAGCGGACTCAGACTTGGCTCGCTGAAAGCCAAACCAGCAATGTCTGGTTCTGTCTTTCTCTGCTTTGCATTATTCTTTTGTAGCCACAGAGTCAACACAGAAGTATCAAACATTTTGATTACACAAGTCAAAACAAAATGTATTGAAAATCCCATAGAGCAAAATTAGTTGCAGTAGTTTTTAATACAGTCGTACCTAACCAGAACTTTTAAACTTCCTCGTTAGCTATTTATCATGCTATGTTCATCCTTCACAAACAAGCACAAGGATATGTCCTTATGAGAAAGAGACATTAACATGCTCTGTGTCTCTATTAGGTGTATCCTGTTCTTAATAGGTGGCATGTCCCAACTTTTGCTCTCATTACTCAAATAACTTTAGTTGGCAGGTTATGACTTAGAACATCCCCGCATCTTCAGAAGATGGGGCAATTTTGTCCTTGTCTGACTCACTGGGAGCCTTGCCTTGTGCTCTCATGAGCTGAAAGGGCTCCCACGTTAATGAACCTAATGGAACATATGAACTGAAGCTTCGTTTCCGTCTTGGGCTCTCCGAACACTCTAAAATGATGTGAAATTGTGATCAGTTTTCTGTGAATTGTTTTTTCAGCTCTCATGGAAAATACCTTACTTGTAAAGCTGTTTTGATTTTTCAAGTTTTCACTTTTGTGAATTGTCAATTTTGTGGATGCAAAAGCTCTAAAACTCCTCTTTGACTTGAAGATGGTTCTTCCACCTCACTGCTAAACTATTTATGTTTCTCATTAACACCAGTGGAAAACTTCTGAACCTTTTTGTCTTTTAGTTTGAAATATGTTCACAACTTTAATTCAAACCAGTTTTTGTTTTCAAGTCATATGTAAAGCCCTGGTGGCACATTCCAGCAGCCTTAGGCCTGTGTTTCTCTGGCTCTGGGATGGGTTCAGCCTATCATGGAGCTAAGCAACCATCTGGACAACTTTATTCTGGCTTTGAGTAGACTATACCTTGTCTGTCCAGGTTTTGTTGGTATAGCAAAACACTGAGTTATTCTGTTTCCAAACCTTTTTTGGGCATTCCAGTCCCAGAAAGCAGAGGAGAAGAATATATATCTGTATTCCACCTAAAACAAAATGTATTTTATTTTGATGGCGGTGTTGCAGAGGTACAGAAAGGTTTTAAATATGTTAGTTCTTATCTTAAATATAGAAATTTACAAGAAATATTTTTTCCTTCACCTTAGTTTTTTCACACTCCGTAAAAATCAGCTCGTCTTAAAATTGTATAACAGTATTAAAATTTCAGTGATAGAGTGCATGTAAATGTCCTACTTTCTTCTTATGAATAACAACAGTATCATACTGTGATAGAATCTAATCCTCCTTTGATCTGTGTGGCTCTTACTCAAATTAAGAGATCTGACTCAACAATTTGCAGTATTTTGCTGCTCCTGTTGTATTGCTTTCATGGCCTGATTAAACAGCATGATTTTTGTAAGATGGCCTACTTTCTTTTTCTAATTAGTCCACTGCATGATATTGCCTGAAGCATTTTTCTTGTGGTATGTTTTCATGAAGAAAACTATACTTTCTTAATGGTCTGTGTTAATGCATTTTTCATTAATCTCGTTTTCATATATGAATATGAATCTTCAAGAATTGCTATTTGCCCTTTAGTGCATCCATAATATACACGTCCCCGTATCACTGTAAAACTCTTTTAGTGCTCTTCAGACTCCAGTTTGTATTTTCAAAGTGCATGGTAGACTTTCTCCTGTAAATTTGTTTTTCCCTTGTTTGGCTTATTCAAGAGAGATACATTTGGATTATAAATCAGATGAGGTTACAGAAATTTGAGAGGTTTCACTCATATCTCAAGGGCTTTTAATAACCGGGTATGAGGCGTGAGTTGGGCACCATTTCTGATTTTATGCTCTTGCAGGTGTTAAAAGTCTTCAACATATAGAGGAATGTATCATAACTACTCTGTAAATGGATGTCATGAATAGAGAATGACACGAATGTTCAGACTGCCTATCTTAGAAAACCCAGTGTAAAATGATACCGCTTAAATGATACCTCCATGAAACTGCAGCTCAGCAACAAATACCTGTAACTAAAGAATTCAAAGTTTCCAACCCTAAGAAAAGCCTCCAGGGCTGTCAAATGCTTAGTACAATTATGACTCCTCTGAAAATCAGCATTCAGAAACAACATTATCTGTCTGAACTATATGCCCAGTTTGTACATAGCTGTGCATCTGATTTTGGTGCATAAAAAGAAAATTTGCTACAAAATATTTTAAAATCTCTTTCAAAAAATTCAGCTTGTGTACAGATTTGAAATGCCTTTTTCTCCCTAAATGCAAATAAAAAGAGGGATGCTTAGCTGTTCCAGATTCTGTCCTTAATAAAATACTAAGTTTATCTAAGTTCATACATGGAAATGAGGATGAAATTTCATCCAGAGGGCATAATACACTAATTAAATTATTAGTACTGTAAATTAATCACTGTACTGTAAATCTTCACTCAGTCTGATATGACATGACAAAGAGGAACAAGTTACAAGTTAAATTAACATATGTGTTTGACCTTTTGCCTTTTCCAGAAAAGTCTAACAGGATTAGTGTGAGAGCAGAAATGACCATCTCTCTGATTAACTAGTTTATGATGAATTATATTCTAAGGATGAGATTTTTGTCAAGCATACGTGGACATGGAGAAACTTGCGATTTTATCAAAGAGGATTTTAGAACTTTTCATTTTTTTAAATCAACTTCTCTTTTTTAGCAAAGGATTTTTCCTAGAAAAAGTGTATTATTCCATCTTCCAGAAGAGGCTGCCTTCAAGCAGGGATTACAGATAGCTTCTCTA